GACTCGCAGTGTTGGAAGCCACAAGAACAGCCAACAACACATGAATCTGGACGCAAGATTAGCCCGGGCCTTCAAAAAGGCCTGTAGCCTTCAAAAAGGCCTTGGATCTGTGCTGGGATGTGGTTTTCCCGGAGCTGGCCATTTGAGGGACAATAACGGAATAAGGTGAGTCGTTCCTGTAATAATGTATTTCATTTCTACATATCTGGGGGATGAGATACTGCACCTAAATATTCTGCCTTTCAGAAACAAGCAGAACGAACCTTTGACGAGCAGTGTTGGAAGCCAAGGAAACTAGCTGACAATACAAATATCTGGACGCACGATTGGTCTCGGCCACTACTGTCCTGTGCAAACTGAACTGAACTGAACTTCAAGGCCGCAAGAGCGCCAATTTTTGGATTCTGCGATACATTGTTGAATCACAATGGCTCTGACATCCGCGGCCGGTTTGGTCTCGTTGCTGGACGACAAGGGAACAGATGTCAAGGTAAATTCTGCTTCGCTTTGTTTAATGAATTGCCAGGCTTTTGCTTTGAAACGCTTGAATGAGCTAGTTGACCAATTTTGGGCTGAAATCTCCGAATCTGTTAATAAGATTGAGATATTGCACGAGGATTCCACTTTTCCACATAACAAATTGGCTGCTCTTTTGGCTTCGAAAGTCTATTATCATCTGGCAGAATATGAGGATGCATTACATTTCGCTTTGTGCGCTGAGGAGCTTTTTGACACAAATGCCTCCTCCGAATTTGTGGAAACTATCATATGTGAGTCTTTGTAATACTCCTCGTTTACCCCATTTTTCGTAGCAAAGTGCATTGATAAATACACTGAGCTACGCGTAGCTCAAGATTTGGCTGCGGATGGTTTGACTGGCACTTTATCGCGTCAAGATTCCACCGGGGATCGAACATGGGCTGCGAACAGTGCGACTTATAAGCGCCTCGAATTGGTGGTCGATAAAATGTTCGATCGTTGTTTTGAACATAAGCAGTACAAACAAGCTCTGGGGATTGCGATAGAAACCCGCAGGTAAGGGTTGTGAAAACGGTCTAATTTCTTCCATAACGGTCGATTATTCAATCGTGCTTGTGAAAATTTACGCACACTGCGATTCACTTCGATAATTCTTTGCTCCTTACGCCCACAGTAACCCTCACGAATTTGGCGTTCGGAGCTGAACAGGGCTTGTAAAAGACCAATGAGTTAACTATTTCCAAATAATCACTCCGTAGCTAAATTGTATCCCAGATTTTAC